TCCCCCCCCCCCAGCATCTCTAGTTAAAACCCCTCTTCCCCAGCTTGGCAAGCCTATGACCGAAGATGCTCTTCCCCTCCTCTGACAGATGGACCCTGTCAGCCCCCAGCAGACCAGGTTTCTCAAAGCAAGTCCCATGGTCTAAGTAGCCGAAGCCCTGGCTGTGGCACTAGTCCGTAACCATTTGTTGACTCGCCAGATTCGACTGGCCCTTTCCAACCCCTTCCCTTTGACCGGCAGGATTGATGAAAAACCTACCTGCACTCCCGAGTCCCTTACCATCGCTCCCAGGGCTCTGTAGTCCTTCCTGGTAGTCCTCAGACTGCTCCTGCCTGTGTCACTGGTGCCCACGTGAAACAGCAGCAGCGGATAATAGTCAGTGGACTGTTAGGAGGCTTGGTAGCCCCTCAGTGACACCCCTGATGCGAGCCCCCGGTAAGCAGCCCAGCTCTCTAGAGAGCGCGTCCAGTCGGCAGATGGGTGCCTCCCTACCTCTCAGAAGAGAGTCGCCTACTGCTATCACCCGCCTCCTTTTCTTAGTTGCGCTGGTTGTTATACGGGGGGCAGATCGGGCTGCACTACTCAGCTCCAGGGTTTCCAATTCCTTCTATTCCAGATGGCGAATAAGAAAAAATTTTTGGGTATACGGACTCATAGTTATGAACATCTTTTTATTACTAGAACCAACCACATTTGGCCTGGGAGTCATTAAAGTTGGGTCAACATGAAGCTTCTTTGTACTGTTTTTACGATCACTTACTCTACACATGAGTGAATTACGCAGATGATATGTAGTTCTAGTTTCAAAAAGTGATTGTACTTGCTCTAAGAAACTTGTTAGGACTTAGTTGGAAATTTGTATCAAGATATGATTATCCTGGGAAGTTTAATATCAGAAAATTTGAAGGAAGCAGTATGTGGAGCCAGTCACTCTGAGACTCCGACTTTCTGAGACTCTGACTTTTGTTCAGGAATCTCCTTCAAGTGAAAAAACAACCAGTTGGTTACCATGCTACCTCCCATAGCGTTTCCATTTGATATGAAAAAACATAGTAATGTGTTGGCTCTGAAGAAAAAGATACTAAAGGGAACAAAAGATGCTTGCTTTCCTCTGATTCTCTTGAGATGTACAGAATTTGAATAAACAGCTAAAGCACTTCCATACTATTTTATCTAGACTCTGGACTGCATCTATCCTTTCAGTCAGAACATTACATCTGATGAAGACTGAATTTTCTTTTCATGAACCACAGAAGTCAGGTCAGATATGCATACTATTTTGCTCACTTCCATCAGAACGTTTAGCATAGGAAAATCCCCATTTAAGTGACTGAGGAAAAACTTCAAACCGTTCTATCACTCCATTTCTGAACAACACACAAATACCCACCGTCACGGCTTGGTTTTACCATCAAAATTGAAACATGGAAGCTACATGATCTGTATTTAAAATGCAGTTTCACACAAACGACTTAAACAATTGCTCACTGCAGAGGAGGGGAGAAGACATTTTATTTTAACCTGGCTTCTAAGAGATGCTAACAGCAGTTCAGTTTGCCATCAAATATTGAACTATTCCAACAACAGATTTGACCGAAGCGGTTTAGCAGCCTGACAGCCCAATTGCTTCTGATGTAAAAGCTTTGCAGGGGTCTTCTTTGCACTAGGAATCTGGAAAAGCATGTCTTCCAGTGTGCACACAGTTACCCGTCCTGAAGCTTGTAGTTTCGTATAAACCTCTCCTAATTTGGCAGAAAGGTCGGGGTTTTCTTCCATCTTTTCCCTGACTGTAGCCAGCTAATGAGGAGAAAATGACAGACTGTTACAGTTCAGGAAGTGAAGATCTCAGTCAACCATACTGAAGACATGCAATCACTCAAAGAAGAAAAAAGTACACAACATACGATATGTGGCTAACACAATGACTCATAAGAATAGGATTTTACACAGCACACATTATACATCACCAGACAATGGTGGAAATGCACTGGATACCTATTAGAGAGAGTTTATTAGGTTTAAAACTTCCTCAAAGTTGTACAGTTCTATTTTCAGTCATAGTACATACAAACACAATTATTTTCATTTAAACCCAAGAAACATAATCGCTTCCTGGAATCTACTTCCAGATCAGCACAATTCTAATTATTATTATGTATCACACTAAATGTACACTACAGTACCAATCAATAAAAGTCAGACTATAGAACACATGGAGTATGAGCTCAAGTATAAGTAAATCTCTTAAAAATTGTTATTGATCCTTTAGTGGAAGGAATGGGTTAGGACTGATGCTTAGTCTTCTTAGGGACTGTTACAAATTTGCCAAACAAAACCAAAATACAACATTGACACATGCAACATTTATTGCAATGAACTTACAAAATGAAATGCTGCTTAAAAGAATTTCTTTTCAACATAGCAGTTAATATGCATGGGCTATGTTTTGAAAGGTACGTCCCCCTTCTACCTCGTATTTGTTATTTTACATATCAGTTATTAATTGCTTATTACGCAGCAGTGAAAGGCTAATTATTTAATTATTAACACAGTCTTAAAATATCTTGTTCCATAGACATGTTCAAAATGAATACACTAATAAGCTTCAGGAAAAGCAGCAGCAATGCTGCCAAGCTGATAGGGGTACGTATGTGCTCTGAAGGAAGCCTTCTTGGTGATCAGTACTGTAAAAGCTGTTTTTTACAGTAAAATAGGAAAAGCTATTATTTCCCATATCACACTTCCCTGTATAACATCACAGGTCTTTGCAAATATTACCAACCTAACAATATCACTGTGATAGGAACTTTATTCTCATTTTTACATCAAATGAAAATAGCATAGAAGGCAAGGGATTAAATTATTTAATGCCACTAGGGAACGCTTCATCTACATTCAGATTAAATTTGAGCTTCTAAGAGCAAGATCCACAACACAAAAAGGGAAGTGGACAGCTAAGGGCTTTGTCCAACGGTACAGAAAGCAGCCAGCTGCTTTGGCATCTGAAAGGATCAGAACCCAAACAACTTCAGTAGGGTGAACTCAGGCACCTGAAGTTCTGTAGCCGAACCACCATCATCATGGCTCGGCCAAGCACTGTGGACCTCCTCTCATTACTGTATACTTACCACCTGCTCAGAAAACTCAATTTTTTTCACAAAGGGAGGAGTATCTACTTCCACTGCTGCCTCTAATGTCTTTATTACTTCTTCAAGCGAACCAGATCTGAGCTGGACAAGAACCTTAAAAACAAAACAAAACCACACCACACAATAGTACTTATCATCAGAATGCAAATTTTAAAAAAAGTGTTTGGGGAAGACATGAAGCAAAGCAGGACAAAATACATTCCTAGATAGTGCGCTGATAAAAATGCATTAATCATGAAGAAAGCAGAGAGAATGATCAATTTCCACAGAGGTTTGGTGTTTTTTTGCAGCTGGGACCTGGAAAGGAAGGGTGGTCCTGGAGGCAGAGCTCCTCTGATGGAGCTGCATTAGCTGTTCTTGAATAAAGTGGTTTTTTTCCATAGGTTAGACAGGTCACTTACAGGGCACATGCAGTAGACTTTCTCTCAGGTTGCAGACCATGCAATTAAAGACAAAAATTGTTGTATGTACCTATGTGGTTACAGTTCATAGGGCTGAAGGAGGCCTGAAGTGCAGAGCTTCAGTGCCAGAGCACAGCTAAGGAAGGCATTTACTTAGAGCTGTGTTTTTTTAAATCCCTTGTAGCAAGAAAACAAAAAGTCACAATGTCATAATTAGAAATTGTTCACAGGTCTATACTCACGGATGTAGAACTGGTCTACTTTCCATTCTCATCTATGGTAGGAAGCGATTTTAAAAAATGGGGTAGGGTGTTAACAATTCAGAATGTAACTCATCCAACTGACAGAAATTGTCTGTTGGCTCAAAAACAAGCTCAGCAACAGTACTGATACACGCCTGTGCTACTAAGAAGCTGGCCTTCTGTTACTTTGCACGTGGGAGTTTCTTGTCCAGTATAGCATACTTCTCTGCAAGATTCTAATACAAAGCAAGCATACTTACTTTAAGATTATTGTATAGTTTGTTCTCCGTTTTCATTATCTGGGAACAATAAAATTTGGCTTGCGCTATATCATTCTAGGAAGGAATTATAAATAATAAAAAAATACGGTTAAACATGTGTGACACACTTTGACAATAAAAGTTCAAGAAAAACAACAGTCATTCACAACTTTTCAATGAATCACAAACCAGCATCTAGAAGCCCTTCACCAAGACCCACAGACTCCAAGCGGCATCCAGCCTGTGAAAGGAACATCCCACACTGGAGTTCCCATGTTAGCACATCAGACAGTACTCCCTGACTCAGATCTGCAGGGAAAGGAAGCATGTAACCAACACTGAGCATGAGAGCACCTAAAAGATAAAAGATCTACACACATGCTCAGTTTGGCACATGTCAGAGTACTTAAATGAAGTGCAGCGTACATTAATGTGGGTATTATCCTTCCCACCACTTTTAACCTTTTGGACATACACATTTACAGTACTGTATCTATGCCATCGACTGATCTGTATAAAGAGTAAATGTTACACTGACATTTACTAGACCAACCACTGTTACTTGGGATCAAGAAACATCTTACTCACAGCAAGATGCACTGTCAAAGATCATGCAGCTTAAGGAATAGTTAAGTGTAATGTGGAGCATTCTTTTTGCAAAACAGGAATATTTAACTGATTTTTACATAGAGCAACAGCATCAAGGATATTTCATGTTGTTTCAGAGACAGAGATTTTGTTTTTTAACCTCAATGCCAATGAGAAGCCTTGTCATGCCATCATGCACATGAATACATTAATTTCAATAATGCTACTGTTCAGTGTCTCTGTTTACAGAGACAGTATAAAAAAAGACCACAGACTGCATAAGAAAATTTTAACAGTTCTACTTCATTCATTCAAATCTGTGAACAACACCAAATCGCTAGCTCTTACAGTGCCTCTGACCCCTGTTTAGACATGAAACAGAGAAGGTTCAGAATTTCCTCAAGCTGTATACACAAATTAATGGCAGAGGAAATACTAGACTTTAGAATTTCCTAATTGTTATTCTCCTGCTCAATCTTTCACCCTGTACTGCCTCAGAGCCTCTTCATATGAGTGCTTAGGCACATGACATATATGAAAACCTCCCCCTGAAGAAACATGTTGTGGAGAAAGACAGGCCATCCCCCAGGCAGTAGGGAAATACACATCATAGCCTTTGAGTTTGCCTCCCAAGATAAACATTTTAAAGAGGTGATTGTGCAAATATTTTAAATTATCATTTTAATTCTATTTAAAGGAAACCATCACTAAATATCAGTATCTGCAGGACTGGGTCCACGGTGACATCAACCTGCTGGCCCAAGTCTCTTTCATTTTCTAAAAATATTCTATATGGCATTGTCACTAGCACAAAATATCCATGCATTAGCCTCAAGACATATGTTTAGATTTCAGAATTTCCACATTTACTTTGTGTGGGAGTTGTCTATAATTCTACTCTTTCAGGGGCCTGAAAGTTCCAGTAGTTGAAGTTATTTCATAGATCAGTTATGCTTCCTCTATGTTAGCTTCCTTTCACTGACTATCTTACTACAATAAAACTATAGAGATTCAGGCACAAATCAAAACAAAAGGTACTGTACCTGCTTCAGAGCAGTTGCCACAGCAAAGCAGAACACTCGTAGTGGTAATGTGTCACCTTTTAACTGTGCTTCTTCAAGCAGTTTCGCTGAGATTTTGCAAGACTCCAGGCTGTCCTGCATAGAAATTTCAAACCTAAGTTGCACTTGTTATTCTTGTGATCTGAAAGGACTGTAGGCAATTGCAATCACATTCAGAAGGCATTCAGAAGTCAACATACTGTAAGATCACCAAGGCAATCCGTATCCGAACCCAACCAAGCAGATTTTGTGCAGCCCTTCTTGAGAAACACAACATCAAAATACAATATTCAAAGCTGCAGAGTTCAGAAGAGGGTAAAAATAACTTCCATTATTTTAACAACTAAGCCTTGCCCTAACTGTTTTGGCTTCTACAGGAGACAAAACAACCCCGACAGTATGCTAAAACTAACAGACACTTTCCGTTCCACTTTCCAATCATTCCCAAATCAGGAAGAAAGCTGACTTTTTGTCCTTTCTTTATTCTAAAAGCTACATTAGATAGTTAATGAAAATCAATGTTTTCTAAGCATTGAACTACTCAGCACCATTACACTAAAGAATCTATGTATGTGCAAATTTCAACATTCAGCCATTTCTAGCCTCTCTTATGGATTAAATCTTGCAAGATGTTTCCAAAGTTACTCTAATATGATAGCTTAGACATTTGCCTGTTTTCCAACACAGAAAGCTTCCATTATTGCTGAGACAATTTTCAATAGGAGCCTATAGTAAAAGGCAATGAGTTTACCTGTGTGTCATTTCACAAACCACCAACTCTCAAAAACAACGCTCCTCACACTGGACATTATGAGTAGAGCTGACTGGACCCCAAACAAAATAATACCTGCCAAACTTAAAAGGTGGCAGGTAACAACTGGCACCACCATGCAATATGGATAAGAGCCTTCACATTCCTTCCTAGTATTTGGTGTTGATTTCTGTTTCTACTGTTCAGAGTGTCATTCCTGCAAAATACTGGCCGTGATTTAAGGGATAGGATCATCCTTTGGGTTTTTAAGGGATGCTTTTCCATGCCACTGCTGAATGGTCTGCACAGCTTGTGAAAATACCTTTTAAACCACATGGTTTAAAACATGTTCTTTGAAAATTTAGAAACATTCTGACCACCAGAAGATTGATTATTATTACATCAATATTTTGCTGTCATCAAAAGGCCTATAGCCCTTTCCTGCACTAAAAGAAGGACCATCTGTTACCTTAGAGGATAGCAGTACCTTGCAATGATTTAAAACGTCCCAGAAGTGTTTTAGAGTTGACTTCTAAAACACTCCCGTACAAAGATAAACATTAATTCCTTTGTTTATCCACTAGCAATAATCTGAGCTTTAAGCCTTGTACATTTTTCTGTACTGGTTTCTGTCATGGTTATTCAAAAGAAACCAAGAATTAACCTGGTAAAAATCCAGCACTGTTCTTAATGATACCAGCACCATTATTTCCAGTATTCAAGTCGTGTATCTGGAAGATATTTCCCTTCAAGATTTTTTCTGAAGTTTCTTCTGTTGCATCACGAGCAAAACCACTTTTGAGCTTCATGGTTTCTCCTCCTACCACTAACAGCTGAATCAACAGATTAAGCTTTTGAAAGAGCTCCACCTAATCTTCTTTAGTGCATAAAAGGTTAATACAGCTTATTCCCCTATTAATAGTATTTTACCATAATGGAAAAAAAACCCACAAATTTATTGTGGCTGTTAAAACAACTGGGTGACAGTTTAGAATCATTTCCCCTCTATTTTTATCAATTCACTAAATAAGTAATGATAGGCCAGATTCTCTACTGAAAACACACGTAGGGCTAGAAGCAGTAGAAAACAGAAGTTTCAGGAACCTCCTCCTGTTGCATATAGAATCATAGAATCATAGAATCATAGAATCATAGAATCAT